TGAGTCCATGACCCATGGTCCAAGAGTACTAGACTGGGAAACACAAGCAAAAGAATTACCAGCTTCTTTAAGTAGACATATCTAATTCTTGCTTCTTTAAGTTTGTCATTCGTGATATCACATCATAGAAGCGAGATATATCTTTAGTGTATAACGTACGAGCCTTTGCCCAAACCAAATAACATGTCTGGAATGGCCGAAACAAAGGCATCAACTTAGAATCAATAGAACGCCACAAGATGCTACATAATTGAGCATCAATTTTTGCCCAAAGCGCTATCGCCTTTTCATCTCCTTCGCTAGACTGTTTAATCAGATGATCTTGCACACCTTGACCTTTACACCACAACTCGACAGATGAAGCCCAAGCTAAGTAGTTTGAACCTCCCATTAAAGGTTCCGAGGTAATCATAACATTAGAGTTTCCAGAACTCATGCTTTTAGACCCAAAAACATCAATTCCCAAAGACATCTTGTAAATTATTACCAAATAAGAGAAATAATCAACTGTAATCCACTGAAAATAGAGTAAGGAACACTGAACCAGAATAGTAAACTACTGTAGCAGTTGGAAAGTTACTGTTGCAGCCGGAAAATATTCAAAGTGGTCGGAATGAAATAAAAACAGTAGGGGTAGGATCGGAATTACCAGAAGACCCAACTGTTCTGAAGGAACTTTTTCAAAAAATGGCCGGAAGTCAACTTTTTGAAATCAAAAATAAAAAAAGTGGTCGGAATTTGGTGTAACCTGGATGGGTAGGCTCGGAATTGCAAGGGAAACAATCTGTCCTGAAGAGTTGTCGCTAAAAAATGGCCGGAAGGTGGCCCATGCAACGTTGGAACTTCGCCGGAAAATTTTCTTTGGACAGTTACAGTACCACCGGAGATTTTCACTAGGATTTGGTCGCCGGACAGTGACTACTCTTGTGGTAGTGTTGGATTTTGTGCACAACATTGACCGAGACAAAGCAGACGCAAAACAACTTTGAAAGTCGCAGGAAAAAAAAGGGTTTCGGTGACTGATTTTACTTCCCGGAATCGCTGGAATTTATGCACAGCGATAAATCTCTCACGATAGCTCTGATACCATGTGAGAAGGCACGGGAGAAAATATGATATATATTGATATATATTGTGTGTGATGCAATACAAGAGGTGCTATTTATAGCTACTCTATACAAAGGGGATACTACTCCTATTCCAATGTGGGACAATTACATAGCTATCTCTAACACGTGGAAAATCACATCTGCCCCATCTAGAAACTTTAATTCTCAAGTGTTCAAAGTATACACGGTTATCAGGGAATTTTTGGAAAATGAAAAAATTAAGGCGTGTAGAGTTTACTAAAGCTGGTTTTTTTTTTGGAGAAAGCAGATCATTGAAGAATCCTCTAAGTTGGAAAATTTGAGGACATTAAAGGGTGTTGAGTTAAACCTCGAAGCTGATTGCTTGAATGTTTTAGTACAGAGGTGTCCTAATCTTCAAGAACTTGAAATCTTTTTTTTGATAAATTATTCTGATGAAGAAAAGATTTGTCTCAAATTGGAGAGTCTTACCCAGCTTCATTCACTTAGCCTTTTCTTTCCCTTGTCCGCTGTTGTACCCAAGTTACACTTGCCTTCAAATGTGAAGAAATTGTTACTACACTGGCCTCGAATAGAAAGCACGATTTTCTTCATTGCGGGACTAGCAAATCTGGAGTATCTCGATTTAAGTGATCCGGATTTTGTTGGTTCCGGAGAGTGGTGTCTTGGAGATATCACGTTCCCTAAACTTAAGGTGTTGAAACTTAGGAACTTAGGTATCTCAAAGTGGGATGCGTCAGAGGAATCTTTCCCGAGCTTGAAACACTTGTTATAAAAATGGTCTGGTATCTCGAGGAGATCCCCCTTAGCTTTGCAGATATTCCAACGCTGAAACGGATTGACTTGATGAGGTGCAGCAGCCGTGAATCTCTGGTGGCTTCAGCTTTGAGAATTAAGGAAGAAGTTAAAGAGATTGAAGGATGTGACCGTATTCACCTCAATATTTATGTAAGTAGAAACAAACTCCACTGTGATGTTTTAGTTTCTTCATTTGCATCTAATGGTTGTTTGATGGATGTTTCTGGCTGTGGTGAGTCAAGGGATGTTTCTGGCAGTGGTTCGTCAAGCACGTGCTTGTTGCAACAACATGGTATAGTTTTCAGGTTTTTCTTGTTCCTTAACCCNAAAAGCACAGACAGAGTGGACGGATGGAGTTCTTTCTTAGCAAATTGTTGTAGTCATGCTCTCATGCTGGGGTCTATTATGCAGCTAGCGGAAATCCCAGTCTCCTTATACTGTAACATTACTACTGATAGCTAAGTCTGTTTTGATTGATCGATTGAGACGCATACCCTCTTTTTTCTGTATGTTTCTTATGAGCCTAAAATCTGTCTTTGATTTGATTATCTTGTGACTGTTCTTCATATATACCTATATGTTATAGAAGATTTAATCCCCAAGGAAGTGTCAATCATATAGAGGTTGCATACCTTGCTATGTGTTACAGTGTCAATCATATAGAGGTTGCATAGCTTGAAACAGGCAATTGTAAAGCTAGGTGAGTGTCAGTACTATGTGACAGACATCAAGGATGTGATTTTGTTACGAGATGTGACAGACATCGTGCAACTGAATTTTCTAGCATCTGAGAATAGACGAATGGAGATAGTTGATCCACATTGTGAACGAGTACAGACTGAAAGCCTTGATGCCCTACTTTCAGTTGCAACACAGTGTGTCTCTTCAAGCTCCGATGACAGGCCAACCATGCACAGGGTTGTTCGATTCTTGAATCTGAAGTCATGACACCAATGTCCCAGTGACTTCTATGATTCAAACTCTGATTGAAGGCGCTATTGCTGGATGCAAATAACGTTAACCTTTGAGTTTGAATCTGCAACTTCATGCAATAAATTGAGGAGTGATGCATGCATTGGGGTTTAAAAGTCTGCAAAGATTCTTTTCTCTACTCTATTTGTCGATTCTTTCTGCAGATTTGTGACAAAAGAATTTCAACTGTCATCATTCCTCAAATTCAGAGTTTCCAGCTAGTTAACACGAGGTTAAGTGTGCTTAATTCTATTTTTCATTTCATCATTTTGCTCTGGTGCAATTAAGCTTTTCATTTCGCCAGAGGAATGGAATTTTATGAGTGTCAGCACTATGTGAGATTTGATTATCTTGTGATTGTTCTTCATATATACCTATGTGTTATAGAAGACTTAATCCCCAAGGAAGTTTCAATCATATAGAGGTTGCATACCTTGAAACGGGCAATTATAGAAGGCTCGTTATATAAATATGACATCTTGAACATTTGATCACTTATTGCTACTAGGAAAGCCCGGATAAAGGAAGACGAAATTAGCATCAGGAAAGACAGCATATTTGGAAGGCAAACCAGATTAGCCTCAGTCATCTAACTTCTTTTACTAACTCCACAGGAATTGGATCAGTAAGTTTGTTCCACTGGGATGATAAGAAAGAAGAAGGTAAAGGAGCAGCACTCCCGCTATGTGCAGGGTTCGTGGAAGGGCCGGACCACAAGGTTTTATTGTACGTAGCCTTACCCTGCATTTCTGCAAGAGGTTGTTTCCATGGCTCGAACACGCGACCTCCTGTTTCACGGGTTCAAGCCGTGGAGACTGCCTCTTGTAGAAATGCAGGGTAAGGCTGCGTACAATAGACCCTTGGGATCTGGCCCTTCCCCGGACCTTGCCCATAGCGGGACCTTAGTGCACCGGGCTGCTCCTTAGGCTGTTTGAGTAGATCCAATCTTGATTCACTTGTATATATAATCCTTGCCCTAGCTGCTTAACTCAACACTAAACTTCAAATTCAGAATCATCAGATTGTCTTTGTCTATCAGCTCATTAGTTTGCTAATTGGCACTTGTAGCGTTGCCAATATATCAGAAGCAGCTGGCTGGCAAGTGGCAAGTCCTTGTAGAAATTCTCCCTTCTCTATGAAGTTGGTTTCATATCTGCAATTGAACGTAGTTTTAGCTTAATTGAAATTCATCCACCTCAATTATCAAAGGCGTGCTTAAAGCGCTAAGCCCTGAAGGGAGGCTCAAAACGAGGTATATTGGCAGTAGAAAGAAAATAATATTATAAAAGTGGTTCTACTCCGGAATCGCAGTGCACCAGCTGATAGCAGAAAACTGCAGCTGCAACATGGTTCCAAAAAGTGACGAGACCTGTCCTAGGCCCTCAGGTCCCAACCCGAACCATTCCAACAAGTCTCAAAGAGTAATACTGACTTGCACAAAGGCTTAAAACGAGGGGTTGGGTTGTTACAGGTTCTTGAGCAAGATTCGTAAGTAAAACATCCCATTATGCTTGGAATGTTCACTCTCAAATACTTTTGGGACTACCGCTATTTTTACTCGTTGGTGCCAGGAAACTTCAGCAGACCTTTAAGATAAATGCAAACAAACATATCATAGAAGTAAATAGTGCAGGACACTTATCAAGTACTTGTATTTTGAGGAATAACTGTACAAAAACACCTCAGAACACTGGCTGATTCTTTGACAGAACTACATTTGATTTTATGTAAGAAGATTCCAAGACTTAAGTAGAAGGCCAAATGTGGGAGAGGCTTGTGAATCACATCTGTTGGTGCTTCATGTGCAAGCAAGAGGGAGAGGATCAACTATTTATCGCGTCACTTTTCATTCTGATATAATTTTTGGTGTATGATTGGACGCTCTTTGTAGAATAATCATGTCTTTTGTATGTGAATAGGAGGCAAGGACAACCAAGAAAGCACAGGTGTTGCTGAGACACAGCTTATTGCACCATCTGATTAGAGTTACCAAAGTTAGGAAAGTAAACTTAAATATTCAGTTCAAATGTGCATCATCAGTTTATGCCATATGTACTTTTATTTCCATCCAAGATGGGTCACATGTCATAGTTATAAACAAAATAAGTAGAGAAACGTGCTGCAGTAACGCAATAGCATTTGTATATCGTTGGAAGAAGTTGTCTCTGCCTCTACTGGAAGATTCACCTAATCTAAAACTAGTAATGTCTCAGTCCATACATTTCAAGTTTAATATATTTGTCGACCGAATACTGCTGAAATATTCTTCTAGTATGTAATATTTCATCTTCATCATCATCCTCTCTAATAGGAAGTGTAGCTTTAAATTTATTTTCTCTTTGATCTCTCTAAAAGTTTCCTCGCTTTTTTGGACATCTACTACTAGAAGAGTTTCTGCTATAAAACAGACGATACTCATTTCAACTAAATATGGACAAACTTGATTCCATTAATTAATCATTGGGATAGGCAACTCTTGAGCTGTAACAGTACTACTTGCACATTAACTAATGCAGAGGCGGATGTAGTGTATTAACTACCGGTTCAACTGAACTCATAACTTTTGATCGCGGAGTAAAACTTTATATGTAAAAATTCATTAAAATTATAATAATAATAATAGATATGAACCATAACTATAACTATATAATGGGTTCAATATTAAAAATATTAAAACTAAACCCATAGGATTTAAATCCTGGATTCGCCTCTGATCACTACGAAAAAATTGGTCTACGGTAACGGTTGGACAACCGTTCCCATAGACTACCTATGGTCGTTGCCATAGGTATATTGGAACGGTTTATAACCCGTTACATCCGCTCGCGTGCCGATAGGCCTATTGGAACGGTTCGTGTAACGGTTTGCATCACCGTGACTATAGATACGTCTATTGCAACGGTTTTCACCTTCTCTGTTGGAACGTTTATTTTTTTCAATTGGAACGGTTTAAAACCATTACTATATTGTTTACACAACGGTTCTTAACCGTTACCATATTATTTAAAGCAACACTTATGTAAGCTATTGTTACGGTTATGTATGGATATAGCAACGATTTCTGTAAGGTATCGCAACGGTTATATTTGTATTTGGAACCGTTTATAGATCAATTTGGAATATTTTATAGGATCTATTGCAACGGTTTAGTCATTTGTGTCCTATTGCAACGGTTCTGGTAGGCTATTGTATCAATTCAATTAAAACCAAAATATAGCACATGTTATAAATAAATATTTATATATATAACAAATAATAATAATAACACTTGTTTTAAAATACATCATAAAATGAAACTATTAATAATATAAAATTATCCTTCAAGCAAATAATATCCCTAAAGCAAATATTGTACCCAAGTGCATAAGTTTAGTACATTTCAAGAGAGTAAGTAAGTTTCAAAAATGTTGATAACAAAAGATTCCTAGAACATTCATCTATAATAATTCAAAATTTTATAAGTAAGGTCTAGTTCTTTTTCATCATCCATTTCTTGATCTACTCCAAAGGGGATAAGAAAAGGAGTTTGGGAAAGGTGAGAGGTATATTTTTTCTCCAAGTGAAGTAATTCCTATGTGCTGGAGACTATTTAAGTACAAAAACACATTTATACTCTGACTTTTAATTTTAATTCTTTAGTTCTAGAAGTAGAATTCTCCCTAATAAATTGGGAAGAAACTGCATTATGAACCCGCACGTTCTACAATTTGAAGGAAACAAGAGTGAAGGCATCATGACATTTGCATGAGAGTTTGTTTTACTTTGAAAGATCATATTCTTTAAAAAAATTCAAAACACTTGGACTGATCATTGTGATATTTCTTCAAGATAACATCCTTTGTTTCTTTTGGCTAAGTAGGGATTGGGAGCTAAAATAGAATGAGAAAGGTGGCATCTTTCTTTGCAAGTATACAACAACAAAGAGCCATCAAGGCAACCACAGAACTACGCAACGATAAAGGGCCAGAGGCGAAGTTAAAAAATGACTAAACTAACTAGACTTAGCCATCTTACTAGCTTCCCTTTAAAAAAAAAATAGAACAGAGAGAGAGAGAGAGCGCAGTGGTAGAAAAGTAACAGAAGGGATGTACCATTTGGAGTATGTACTGACCTTGATTGTTAGTCCCTATAGATATAGACGATTGATTAGTTGTATAGCTGCTTTTTGTGCAAAGGAAGCTTCTCCAGGTGAACGAGCATTGAAAGCTAGCATGTTAGGATCAACCCGTAATCCTGGATTCATTCCCCATTCTAAGCTCGTCATTCTCATAGGGTTCAAAATGGTCTTTCTTTAACTGATTTTTATGCTTTCTCCAAGCATTTTGAATTGATTGAAAAATTCACTTTTTTGCATCTTCATGAATGTCATATTTTCCCTACAAATTTAATGCATTTAGGTTAAACAATATGAAATATCCACAAACACCTATTACATATTGTGAACTTCAAACCTTGATATATTTTCACATGTCTTCTTTTGTCTCAAGTTTCCTCCAATTAAACATATTAAGAGAACAAAAGGTTACATTCCTTGCCAATGTATCGAGGAAGCTACCCAACTCATTTACCTCTTCATCAGTAGGACCTATGGGTTGATTGTTAGGTAATTTTATTCACGCCACAGATATACTTATCTGTCTATCTTAGGAGATTCATCTAACTTTTGTCACCGTAATCCATAATTATCCTATATAACATATTCAAATCACCAAAATTAATATTCAAGGTAAGCAAAGTTAAATCTTATCCATATTAGGCTCAAATTAAGTATAATGCGAAAACCTAAATAGCCACCTGATTACATGGACTCTTTATTTACTTTGATGTACTAGATAGCAATTAGATGTGCCTATATCAGATACTCACCTATAAGTGAGTTCATGTAATATAAATAACCACAATTCGCCTACAAAATTTAGCCCAAAAATAGCTCCGGATGGAATCTAAAACTGATCAAGAAGCTCATGATTTCCAAATAGTGTTAGTACTTTTCACATTGAGAAGAAAATATATGATATGTTTAACCTACGTAGAGATATGTATCACTTTGTGTATACAATTTTAATGGTGACTTCGACAATAAGAAATCATATCAGCTATGAGTTCAGAGTGTTCTGAAAGAAAAGAAAGTTGCAGCAGCATATATCTGCTCCTTAGCAAATTCCAAGTCAACATTATATCAAAAAAAGATTTCGTGATTGAAAGCCCTTACCATTTTCCAGTTAACATGACTTATTCGGACAACATTGTAACATATCAATTGAAGGCAAGTTACAACGACAAACATATAAATTGGAGTTTCTGCCTTATGGTTGCTAACAATGAGAAACTATATTGTTGGAGCTGATTATTCAACATCCACCATGGCTATGGTAGATGCAGATATAGATAAGGAAATGGTTTTGGTCTCAGATGAGAGAAAAGATTTAGGGTTTGGTCCAATTGAAGATGGACTTTGTCAGAACAACTAAAGTGATTTATTCTCTCATAAATCAACACATCTCAGCCGTCCAAATCAAAGCAATCTCAAGCGTTCATCTCACATGGATTTAATTGATCACCACCGTTGATATAGTACATCTATAAACTTAGGATTCTATTTCTTGCGCATGTGAGCACGTGCTAGTGTAGAAAATTCTGTTTCTTTATATTCTATACAGATATGTATTTAGTTAGGAGTAGACCAATAGGAAGATTACACCTGTACAGTAGCATAACCAATTTTGATTCCTTTTATTTGTATAAATAGGTATACAGCATTGAATAAAAATACACAGAAAATTTCTCTACTGCTTTCTCCTTTGAATTCTTTCATGGTATCAGAGCAATAGCAGCTCGATCCATCATCTTCTTCTTTGCTTGATCTGTGCAAATCTTGAATCATTCCTGATAACACTGAGCAAACGATCACCCAGGCAACTACTGGTGCAGCAACCATCATTGACTCAAATTGCTTACTTTCTTCATTCCTCTGATGCACCAGGAATGTCGCTTGTCAATTCTGCCTTTGATGGTAGAGGTTTTCAAGGCTGGAGAAGGTCAGTTCTCATAGCCCTTTCATCCAAGAACAAAATAGGATTCATCAATGGTGCTTGCCCTGCTCCAGCTGCTGATTCAAAGGATTTCCAGCCCTGGAGTAGATGCAATGACATGGTCACATCCTGGCTGCTCAACTCACTGTCCAAAGACATAGGGGATAGTGTCATCTACTCCAAATCTGCTAAGGACCTGTGGACAAGTTTAGAACACAGATTTGGTCAGTCAAATGGAGCTAAGCTTTATCACCTAAGAAAGGAATTATCGGGTTTAATGCAAGGGACAAATGATATAGCAACCTATTTTACAAGACTCAAACGACTATGGGATGAGTTACATTCTGTGATGTGAAATGTCGTTGCTTATGTGTTTGTGAGGGGAAACAAAGACTAGAAAAATCACTAGAAGATGAGACACTCATTCAATTTCTTATGGGGTTAAATGACAGTTATGGGCAAGCAAGGGGAAACATTATCATGATGAACCCTTTACCAAACATAAACCATGCATATTCTCTTGTTCTACAAGATGAAAGCCAAAGAGAAATATATGCAAACCCACTCATTTGCCCTGAATCATCAGCAATTAATGTCACAAACCAAAGCAATTTTGCACAGAGAGGAGGAAAGCAGAATCAAAAAGGATATGCTCAGTATCCAAAATCTGGAAAAAACATGCAAAAGGGAACCAACAGCTTTGTTCAGAGGAATTCAACTTTCAAAGGAAAGAAAAGCAAGTTTAATCCTAATGTTTCTTGTAGTCACTGCAAGAAGGTTGGACACACTGTTAATGATAGTTATAGAATAATTGGATTTCCAGAAGACTTTGAATTCACAAAGGGAAATCCAATCAGGGGAAATGGATCATTTCAAGTGGAGCAAACAGAACATAACAATGCTAACCAGACTGAAATGATGAATCAGCACCTTTCACAGGAGCAGTTCACTCAACTGATGCAAATGATCAAACAAGTCAAAGTTGCATACACAGGAAACTCAGGAGCAGAAATCAATGCCAATGCTGTTGCTGGTACAATTGCAAGATATTCAGGAACTTGTTTTTCAGTTTTCAATTCTAGTACATGGATTATTGACTCTGGGGCCTCTGAATACATGTGTTTTGACTCTAATGCCTTTGTTTCTTTAATAGCTTTATCAGTCCCTTTGAACATAAACTTGCCTAATTCACTCAAAGTCACAGTCACTCACATAGGAAGGATTGCTATTATGCCTGATTACATCCTAGACAATGTTTTACATGTGCCTAGTTTCAGATACAACCTATTGTCAGTTAACAGGTTCTGTTTGCAATTTCAGAAAATCCTATTTTTCACATCTTCCTATTGTTTCCTGCAGGCCCTTTTAGTGAAGAGGGCACAAGTTTTTGGTGAAGCTAGGGAAGGTCTATACCTCTTGGAGCCAACTCAAGTTAGAAATAGAGCAGCAGTAGAGACAACTCTTTCCTCAAGTCAAAATGTGTTTAGTGAATTATCAGTTTCTTTTCCTTTCTCAGCTAATGTAGTTTCAGATGTAAGCCTTTGGCATGTTAGACTGGGGCATTTGCCTTTTTCATCAATGAAGCATCTCAGTTTTATCTCTTTGCCCTCTAAATCTGAATGTTCCTGTGACATCTGTCCTAAGGCTAGGCAAACCAGAATTCCCTTTACTATAAGTCAAATTAAAACAAAAAGGCGTTTTGAGTTAATTCATGTTGATGTTTGGGGTCCCTACAAGGTGACCACTTACAATGGTTTCAAATATTTCCTAACTGTTGTAGATGACTACAGTAGAGCAGCTTGGACTTTTCTCATGAGTACCAAAAGCAATGCTTTTGGTCTACTAAAGAACTTCTTTGTAATGGTGGAGATACAATTTGGGATGAAGGTGCAGAAATTGAGAACAGATAATGCTTCTGAGCTTGGCAAAGGTTCTCAGGAAGCAGCTTTCCTTGCTTCACAGGGAATACTGCACCAAACATCATGTGTGGGCACACCTCAACAGAATGGGGTGGTTGAGAGGAAGCATAGACATCTTTTGGAAATTGCGATAGCCTTGCTATTTCAGTCTAAACTTCCTCTGATCTACTGGGGAGAGTGTGTTGACTGCTACTTTTCTGATTAATAGGCTGCCTTCTAAGGTACTCAAAGGTAGCTCACCTTATTTTGTGTTGTTTAAACAACAACCATCTTATGAATCTTTCAAATATTTTGGTTGTCTGTGCTATGTGTCTACTTTGTCTAGTGGGAGAGGCAAATTTGATCTCAGGGCTAAGCCTTGTGTGTTTTTGGGATACCCTTTGGGGCAAAAAGGATACAAGGTTCTGGATTTAGATACAAAAAGGGTGTTAGTCTCAAGGGATGTTCAATTTTATGAAAACCAATACCCTTTTGCCTATACCAACTCATCCTTACCTCCCATATTTCCCATTCCCTCACCCACAGATTATGATACTATTCCAGACCACATTTCCCGAATGCCTACCACATCCATGGAACACTCTATGTCACCATTCACTTCAATCCACCAGGACATACCTATTTCATCACAGCCAGCCTCTACTTCTCATTCAAATTCCCATTCCCATTCTCCTCTACCCTTGACTCTGCCAGAAATCAGAAAATCTACCAGAACACACAACCCACCAGCATATCTACAGGACTATGTTTGCAATTCAATATTCCTAGCTGATCTGACTACATCCTGTTTCATGGAACCACTTCAGCCTACTGTGCTCCCCTTTATAGCTCTTTCATTTGCCAACCAATCTCTACTTAACTCCACTTCTTACCTCACAGAACCTACCTCTTATTCCCAAGCAATGCTACATCCAGGATGGCAAGAGGCCATGGATAAGGAATTAGAGGCTCTTGCTTTGAACAAGACTTGGGAAGTAGTATCTTTACCTGCTGGGAAGAAAGCTCTTCCCTGCAAATGGGTCTATAGAGTAAAGTACAAATCTGATGGTTCTTTGGAAAGGTTCAAGGCTCGATTGGTTATTAGGGGAGACACACAAAGAGAAGGCATAGACTTCAATGAAACTTTCTCTCCAGTTGTCAAAATGACAACAATCAGATGCCTCTTTGCTATTGCAGTGAAGAAAGGATGGCAAGTATCACAATTGGATGTGAACAATGCCTTCTTGCATGGAGATTTGCAGGAAGAGGTCTACATGAAATTCCCAGCTGGAACTTCTCCACCTTCACCCAATCATGTGTGTCTTTTGAAGAAACCTCTATATGGGCTGCGACAAGCCTCACGTTAATGGTATGCAAAACTCACCGCAGCCTTGAATTTCAAAGGGTACTCACATTCCTTAAATGATTACTCTTTATTTTTCAAAAAATCAGCAGGGAGTATTACTATAGTGGCTGTCTACGTTGACGATATTTTAATCACAGGAAATGACTACAATGAGCAGGAAGAACTTAAAGTTTTTCTTGATTCTGAGTTCAAAATTAAAGATCTTGGAGAAGCACATTATTTCCTAGGTTTTGAAATTATCAGAGAAAAACAGGGTATCATTTTTAACTCAGAATCAAGTTTGACTGCAGGTTATACCTTGGACCTCTTATCTGAGTTTGACTGCATGGAGATGAAACCAGCTTCTTCTCCTTTGGATCCTACTCAAAAGCTTCGTTCAGATCAGGGAGTCTTGCTTCAAGATCCCACCTTTTATCGTCGTTTATTGGGGAAATTGAACTTTCTTACCCATAATCGACCGGATCTCTCTTTTGCTGTGCAGCACCTCAGCTAGTTTATGCAAACTCCTCTCAAGCCCCACCTAGATGCTGCCTATCACTGTCTCAAATACCTCCTCAAGGACCCTGGTTTGGGCTTATTTTTGAATTCACGTTCTGATTTCCAGCTCCTGGCCTTCTGTGATTCTGATTGGGGCTCTTGTCCTCAATATCGGGAGTCTATTAGTGGATTCTTTATAAGCTTGGGCGGAACCCCTGTTTCTTGGAAATCAAAGAAACAGTCCTCAGTCTCTCTTTCATCTGATGAAGCAGAATACCGTTCGATGAGAAGAGTCACAACTGAAATTACCTGGTTGATACGATTACTGAATGATCTCTCTATTTCTCCATCCTTGCCAGTCAATCTCTTCTTCGACAGTCAAGCGGCCATTCATATCGCAAAAAATCCAGTCTTTCACGAGCGTACCAAGCACGTGGAACTAGACTGTCACTTTGTCCGGCAACAATTTTTGGCCGGAATCATCTCCCTCTCCTTTGTTCCGTCCAAATCGCAATTGGCAGACATTTTCACGAAGCCCTTAGCTGGTCCTGCTCACAGCTCCATTGTTGGCAAGTTGGGCGTGGTTCATACCCCCTCCAACTTGAGGGGGGTGTTGGAGCTGATTATTCAACATCCACCATGGCTATGACAGATGCAGATATAGATAAGGAAATGGTTTTGGTCTCAGATGAGAGAAATAATTTAGGGTTTGGTCCAAATGAAGATGGAACTTTGTCGGAACAACCAAAGTGATTTATTCTCTCATAAATCAACACATCTCAACTGTCCAAATCAAAGCAATCTCAAGCGTTCATCTCACATGGATTTAATTGATCACCACCGTTGATTTAGTACAGCTATAAACTTAGGATTCTATTTCTTGTGCATGTGAGCACGTGCTAGTGTAGAAAATTTTAGGAGTAGACCAATAGGAAGATTACACTTGTACAATAGCATAACCAATTTTGATTCCTTTTATTTGTATAAATAGGTATACAACATTGAATAAAAATACACAGAAAATTTCTCTACTGCTTTCTCCTTTGAATTCTTTCATATATCCTTTAGTTTCTGGCTTATGGTTGCTAACAATGAAAAAAATTATTAGCGTCGCAAAATAAGGGATATGGATATCTACTTGTAACAAACAAGCATATTCAGGTTTTTGCTCACCTTTTGACTTCAGTATATAATGAAAAGATATTAAATTGTGCTAAGTAAGGCCACATATATGAAAAAACTCACAGCTTTAAAGCTGTTAAGTTGAATAAGAAAAAAAATTTTAACAAAGATAACTAAATCAAACAGTTATATATCTAACAAAATATACAATCAAAACCTATCAATTGTACCTACGTAAAGCATAATTTCAATGAAATTCAATTTCAAGCACAATAAGAAGACATGCTTCTTACTATGTCGCTCAAATACTCCCAACAATAAAAATCAGTTGAATCGGATAATAATGAACATTAATACTAAAATATTCATTCAAAAATAAAACTATCGAATGCGGTTATCTAAAATTTAAATTAAAAAGCAATTAAAAAAACTTACCGCGATTTATCCCACAGCTATCAGTTGCAATTTCTTCCTCACTAATGGAATCTGCAAATTATGGCTCAACTATAGAGAAATTGCAAAAGGAGGTGGTCGATCTTAGTCGAGAAAAAACCCTAAAATTTTGTGGCTATTTGAAAGTGTGGAGCTTGGATTAATAGGAGGAGGTGGTTGTTTCAGGTGGAGGAGATAAAGTTTATGGGTGAAGAAAAAAGAAAATCAAATCTTGGAACTAGTCAAAGAGTATGAAATATTTTGTTGACGGCAGGATGGTGGTTGTTGGTGACGGCTGTAGAAGGAGGTGGTTGTTGACGGCCATATCTGTTACATAGTCGGAGGTTCTACTGCAGACGTTGACGGCGGGATGGTGGCAGAGTTGGCGGGATGGTGGCAGAGTCGGCGGTTGATGGCTGCCTTCCGATGTTTGTTACAGAGTCGTCGTTCTCGGTGAAGTCCCTTTTGAGAGGGATGGCCTTTCGATAGCCATTAGTTTTTTCTAATTTTATTAGGTATAGAAATTAATTAAGACAAAAAGAAATTTGTGTAAAAATAGGGATTCTAGCGCGAGTTTTACGAAAATTCAAGGGGCAAAAATTTTAGGAAGGAAATAACAACTGTTCCCATTGCATTTTTTTTTTCAAGATCCGTGGCAACAGATTTATTTATTGGCACGATTAGCATAGCGTTGCAAAAAATAAACCCCTATGGGAATGGTTGCTAATTAATGGCAACGGTTTTATAGGCAAAGTGTGCTAGTATCACTCATGTAATATTACAACGGTTAGAACCGTTCCAATAACTGATCTGTAGGAACAATTTCTGAACCGTTACAAAAACATCAGTTCCATTAGGCCCATTTTCTGGTATAATGCAAGCATTGACTTTGAAGGCCAATAGGAATGGATTATAATCTACAGATTAGTCGTCTCTCTGTATTAATAATAGTATACTAAGCCTCGCCATGACCGTTCCTCATTTTTCGGCATTTTAGGGCCATAAAGCTAGAATTCCGCCCAATTCGCAAATTTTCGTGTGCTATAGCGCATGCCATATGTTTGGGCCCCGACGTCCGGCCTCGACTCGCCTAAAATTTTGCCAACACATCAAAAATGGCATAAGGAACATTATTCATTGTCTCGCCATAATCTTTCCTTATTTTTTGGTATTTTCGGGCCATAAAACTGGAATTCTGTCCGATTTCTTGATTTTCGTGTGTTATAGCCATGTTATCTACATGGGCTCGGGCGCCTGACCCTGATCGCCTAAAATTTTGTTGGCCCATCAAAAATGGCATAAGGAACATTAGTAATCGCCTCGCCATGACCATTCCTCATTTTTTGGCATTTTAGGGCCATAAAAATGAAATTCCGCCAGATTTCCAGATTTTTGTGTGTTATAGCCCACGCTATCTGCATGGGTCAGGACGCCCGGATCCGGATCGTCTAAAAATTTTCCGACCCATCAAAAACGGCCTAAGGAACATTAATCATCGTCTCGCCATGAGCGTTACTCGTTTTTTGAACTTTTCGGTCTATAAAACTTAAATTTCGCCTTATTTTCAGATTTTCATGTGCTATAAACTATGACATCTACATGGGCCCCAGCGTTCGGACCCGGATCGCCTAAAATTTTGTCGGCCCAACAAAAACGGGCTAAGGAACATTAGTCATTGCCTCGCATTTGATCTCTTCCTTTGTTAGAGTTACATCAGCTCCTAGTCATTTCCAACTCAGTCCATAGTAGGACTGCAAATAAAAAAAATTGTATATATAATTATTAGATTTCAGCTTAGTCCAATTGAATAAGGATTTGGCTTATGTTGAGGAGCCGGTGGCAATGTTGGGAGGCGACCTGGAGATCAAGCAAATATTCAACTGAAAAAAAAGAGAGTATATTTTTAGGATAAAACTTGATAGCAATGATGTAGTAATAGGGAAAAGCCAAACACGGATGCCTATTTTCCTTTTTAATTTTGTATCAATCTTTATTCTGGTACAAGAAAGAATTTTTTCCCCCTCAAATTAAAGTATCTTAAAGGGTAAGTATTCTACTAAAAACATCCATAACATCACATCTTACTTTTCAAATGAAGGGAATTTAAATATATAAGTACTCTCAATACTTATTTATTTTTAAACTTTCATCGCATGTTTTTCTTTTAAAAAGAGGGACAAGACGTTTGTAAAGTTAGCCTAGATGTATAGAATTCTTCCAAAGCTTTTTTACATTATTGTTATTCTTTAAAATTGTAGAGGTAATTTGGATCAATGAACTCCGAAATTTAATCGAACAGTTAAATTGAAAAAGGAAGTTGAGATCGGAAGCTTCAGGTTACTTCCAAGGCACCCCCAGCCCAGCAGGGCCAGCAGCAGACTCAGAGATAGAGAGGTAGATCATCTCAGACAAGGTCACGTTCATGTTCTACTTGTGGCCACACTCATCGTGGCGAGTGTTGGGGTACATCTCAAAGTTGCTACACTTGCAGAGAGGTGCCTTCACTGCCCCGTTCTGTAACCTCCCTTCTTTCGTCCGTCCACGAGGCTGTAAAAAGAGAGAAAGGGGCGGCTATCTAGTGGGAGTCGTTTCGGTTGTATGCGGAAAAAAAAAATTAGACCAATCATATGTGTTATGGATTTAATATACAAGCAGCAAAAAGGTTGAAAAATAGGATTGAAAATATGTCTCTAAAATTTTATTAATCATAGGGCTTTAAATAGCCAAATAAATAAAGTAGTAGACTCCTCCTACAACTAAATTACTAAACTCTAACTATAATTAAAATTCTGAATCTTCTAGCAGACTCTTCCTAAAACTAAACAACTAATTATTCTAGAAAACAGTAGCAGTAACAGATGCAAAATCCAACACTCCTCCTTGCTTCTGTTGCTGCAGTCTAAAGAAGGTCATCCTCAATTCTTTTTTCTGCTATTAGTGTTTGTGCATGAGCATCTTTGAACTTGCATACTTTTTGTAACATGACCTTTTTGCTTGCAATTTCCACATAATGCATCAGGTCTCCACCAACAAATTTTTCTAAGTGTGTTTTCTTTTTGCAATATTTGCAATAAGGATAATCGACTTTTTTTTGGTGTTTCTCATAAAAAATACCCTCAGTAACTTTATTTTGTCTGAAGGCCCTTCTTTGCTCTTGTACTTGAAGAGCACTTATTAATTCTACAACAGAGATAGTAGAGAGATCTTTAAACTCTTCTAGAGAGGAAATTTTGGATTCAAATCTCTCGGGAATTGTCACAGGAATTTTTTCAACTATCCTGTCATCTTTGAAATCCTCGCCAAGCAACCTGATTTTATTGACAATTAAAGAAATTCGGTCAGGATACTTAGTGATGGTCTCATCATCTTGCATTCTAAGAGATTCAAAATCTTTTTTCAAATTTAAAATCTGATTTTGTCTTCCTCATTCACTTCCTTGATACTCATGTTTGAGTGTTTCCCAAGCTTCTTTTGCTGTCTCACATGCAATGATTTTAGAGAAGATTGAATCTGCAACTGAATTTTGAGTTATAGTTTTGGCTTTGTATTTTTTGGTTTTCTCATCTGAATGAGCTTTGATTTGGGCAAGGGTATGATTTGCACGAAGTGGTTGTATAAGTCTGTCTTCCATTACAACTTCCCATAGATTATAAGCTTCAAGATAAGATTTCATCTTCACTGACCAAATCTGATAGTTTTCACCAGTGAAAGTTTGTGGGGTATTCAAAGAGAGACCGCTGCTTGCCATTGTTAAAAATTTAGTTAAAAATCGGCATGAGTAAAAATGTGTATGGTTTAAAAGTGGTTGAAATTGGTTGTTTTTCAAAGAATTCAGAGATCCGTCAAGATCAATCAATTGAGGCTCTAATACCACTGTTATGGATTTTAGAAAATATACAAGCAGCAAGAAGGTTGAAAAATAGGATTGAAAAATTGTCTCTAATTTTTTTTTTTAATTATAGGGCTTTAAATAGCCAAATAAATAAAGTAGTAAACTCCTCCTACAACTAAATTACTAAGCTCTTACTATAATTAAAATTCTGAATCTTCTAGCAGACTCTTTCTAAAACTAAACAACTAATTATTCTAGAAAACAGTAGCAGTAACAGATGCAAAATCCAACAATATGCTATTTCGTTCTTATCTGGAAATGAGCAGGGAGTACCAATTGCTGGTGTCAATTTATCAAACCGTACTAAAATGACATTTACACCTCAAAATGGGGGAAAAGGGTGGGAAAGAAGACGAAAATGGGAGAAGGGGGAAAAGTCAGCAACGTACTCAAAGAGGAGGGGTTCCGGGGAAGAAGAAGAGGAATTTGGGGGGGGGGGGTTTAAAGTGAAGGGAAACAAAATATTTTTTAAAAAGTAAAAATTTAAAATTTTGACACGTGTCCTTTAAATAAGAATTGGGATAGGAAATTTAACATTTAATGCACTTAGATTTGTCCTTAAACACGCCCCCCACGTAGCAAAAGTGATATGTATTAGATACAATCCAAGAAGGTTAAGTGTGTAAGGTCATTTTCATCCATAAAAAAGTGCGTAATAGGGATTTGATCCTAAGTTTCGGAGGTAAACTATGTATTTTGCCTAGTATAAATAAATAAATATTAATTTGAAACTTTTAAATTTTAAATCATCTCAAATTTTAAAGATTAAAGTGTATTTATAATTTTATCAAATAAAATTTTTATTTTCAATGTGTTCGAATAAGAAAATTTATATAAGATGAAATATTAACTAATTTTAAAGTACTAAACGTTAGGAGATACTTCATATTAATTTAATAAACAAATTGTAATTTTAGCTCATAAGAATTTATTTTTAAAGTGTTCAATGAGAAAAGATTTTATACAAATAAAATTTAAGTGATTTCGTCATAAATGTTAGGAATTCTTAAGTATAATTTAAGTAAAAATAATTCCTTAAGATAAATTTTATATTTATTTCAAAATCTTAAATGCTAGAAAAATAATAAAATATATTATTTTTGTCAAATGTAAAATCAATTTTTTAAAAAGAAAATTCAATTTTCTTGCAAGTAGATTGATAGATTAACTTATTTTACATGGTTTGTTCTAAGTGGAGTTACTCATCTTAACCTATATTATATTCCATGCATTAACTCTAAGTAAACTTTTCTTTTTAGGAGAGTTTTTATTTGTCCATCGTGAAATTTCTTTGCTCGTTAATGCCTAGATCAATTACTCATGCATTTGTGGACGCGTCGCGTTTTATCAAATTTGGGTGTTTTCCTCTTTTCAAAGTCACTTTAGAGCTTTATACATAGTTTAAATAAGGAACAATTTAATAAATAAAACTTTAGTTGATTTCAAACCCCAAATATAAGGAAAACAACTTAAATTACTATTTTATCTAATATGGACTTTCATTTTAAAGGGTTAAAAAGGCGAACGATATTTCGCTAAGGGGCTTCGTGCTTTTAATATAGTATATATATAGATATAGATATACATATAGATATAGATAGATTATAAAGTTTAATTATTATTATTTAGTTTATTTTTAGGATTAGATCAGATATACGGATGGCAAGTGGTGTGGAGTGGTGCGAGTTCTATCTTAACCCACAAAATTTCAACTCGCCCCGCCTTGCACAGTACTTTGGACCCGCATCGACCCGTCCCGCACAACACTCGTGTCAACCTGCCCCGCTATTTTTTTTCCAAGTGAGGAAAATGTGGGCTATGAAAAATCAGGATCTCCACTACCAACTTGAATTTATGCTTATAATTCCTCAGTCAATTTTTAGATTTTCTATCCTCAAATGCCAAAAGTCATTTCACCAATTATATTTTGAGTACAGTTTTCTAAAGAAAATGAATATCCAATAGCAACACAAGTGAGGCTTAGTAAAAGCATATTCACCCATGACCGTTAGGTCCTGAGTTCGAGTCACGCTGGAGGGAAAGTGTAGAAACATTATAAATCCTCCTGAGAACTTGTTTGGATGGTTGTTACCTATTATTTTACTATATCGTTTGATGAATACAATGTTTGGATGAATTGTTTCGTTTTGCCGTAGTTTCATGGTATCACGCACCAGTAATTAAAATTGTCAAATATGGGCGGGGCGGGGCTAGCCCAGCCCAGCCCACATGGACTTTTACAATTGACGAGTTGGGCTGGGCTAGCCCATCATTTTGATGGGCCTTATAATGATCAGCCCACCCAAACCCTATGTGGGCTACAGGCCCCCACAAGCCATCCCATCATTTTTTAAATATATAATTTTATATTTTTTTCTCTAAGTTCTAAAGTAAAAAAAGATAAATATATAAAAGTTAAAAAAAATCTTGTTGGAAAATTTTCACAAAACTTAATAACACGATTCTAATATATTACAATAAATACTAAAAAAGTAAAAGACAAGACTATATTTCATTCACTAAAAGTCAAAACTCAAAACAAACTATTCAAGAGAACGCCCATGACGCTTATGGAATATTCAACACATCATCTTCATCAAACACATTTGAATCCGCTTGTGAGAAGGTTGTCTTAACATCTTCACTTTCTTCTACATCTACAATTCCTATGCAATATTAATTAGTTAAATATTAAGAATAATTAAATTTTTAAAACTAATTAACGTTTTAAGACTTTGACCTTTTAATTTTATGAGCTTAATAAACTTTAAGCTTGAGATACTCTTCTTGTTATTTTTTGTGTCATATACTTTTATATTTTATATATTTTAAATACATATTTTTATTAAGCCCATGGGCTGGCCCAACCCAGCCTCAGTTCAAGCCTCACGGGCCATAGGCTTACTCGGGCCAGGCTAAAAAGCCTCGTCTTAAATGAGCTCCAAAAATTCTAGCCCAGTCCTGCTAAATCACGGGCTGGGTTGGGGCTCTACCAGTAATATAATGAATAAACTTGCAATATTATAAAGAAAAATTATGATACTGTATATAAAAAGTAACAATGCGACCACACCAAATCGGTCGTTACATAAAGTGTCACGTTTTATCGTTCGTTACATAAAGTGGCACATTTCATCGTTACGTAACGACGAATTTAACAAATCGATATAATAAAATTTAAGTAATAATCAAAATAAATATTGTATTTAAAGTAACAATACAATATAATACAATAAGTAATAACCATCCAAATAAGCTGTAAACCTGGAAACACTATAAATCCTCCTAAAAGAGAGTATTTATAAATAAAAAATAGCAACATAAATGATGTATGTAGTAAGGCAAAAAAGCCCATCTTGCAGTTCTATAAACTTTCAAAAGATGTGCAGAAGAGATGTACTAAAAACAAATTACCCGCACCGCACCCGCATGTATCTAAACCCGCACCGGACCCGCATATATCTAAACCCATACCGCCCCGCCTCCTCGCTTTCAATACAAAAAGAACAGGCGAATGAAGATAAAAGCACGCTGATTGATTTTTAGACTTGAGCTGACTTCTTTCTCAAATCTCTAAGTTGGTTTCACTTCATATCTGTAAGTTCTTCAATTGCTATAGGAACAACTACATGAATCCATTTTGCTTTTTTCTTACCTTGATAACAATTACTATAAAATGTCTTACTTTTGAAAATTATTTTTTTCCTTCTATTTGATATATATCAAACTAGTCAGAGAATATTGGGAGATACCCACAGAAGCTTTCTTCTTCTTCGTCTGCATCTTTTTTTATTTTTTATTTTTTTTGGGGNTTAGCAATAATTTTAAAAGAGTCACTTATAGCAAATATTTGAAACTTGAGTCACAAATAGCATTGTGTATAATCTTTTTATAGTCTCATAGTAGTATTGATAGACATGAATAAAAACCAGTCCCTTCGTTTTAATTTATATGAACCTATTTGATTGAGTACAAAGTTTAATTAAAAAAAAAAGGAAGACTTATTAACTCGTGGTCTTTAAGTATGCCATAGCATTTGTGTGGCTATGACGCTTTTGAAACTTGTGGTTCCAACTTTCAGATATGCGATAACATTTGTGTGGCTATGAATGTTTTTGTTGTTTTATTATTTTTGATTTTTGTGGATATTTAGGATTGTGGAGAGTGTTGGAGAGGGAGTAACATAACTTGCTCTAGGAGTCCATGTTCTTCCTGTGTTCAGATTGTGGTCAATGTAAATCAGAAGAAAGCAATATGTGCAGCCCCTTAAGGGTTAATACTGACTGAGGAGTAAGGATTCTAGGTGAAAAACAACGGCGAGGCGAATTCAGAATTTTAAGTTTATGGGTTCTCAGGTTAATATACAATAATAACTGGATTATTGGACTGGGTTCCAAGCTAAATATTCTTATACATTTAATGAATTTTTCAATACAAATACCGGATCTAGACAAAAGTTACTGGATTCACGGGGACCCGTAACTGATGCACTGGATCTGCCCCTAATCAACGGAATGCCCCATTTACCATTTTTGTTGGGACCTCTACCTTTAGTGAGTACACCTTAGTTCATGTTGTTGCGAAAATCAACACCCTTGCTCCTCTTGACAAAGTCTGTGTCCTCAGTTATTGAATTTGAGAAGTTCCAGATTCATGATAATGGAAAACAAAAATGCAACAACAACAACAACAACAACCCAGTATAATCCCACTTAGTGGGGTCTGGGGAGGGTAGTGTGTACGCAAACCTTACCCCTATCCTGGGGTAGAGAGGCTGTTTCCAAATAGACCCCCGACATCCTTCCCAACTTCCCATCTTGCTCTTGGGGAGACTCGAACTCACAACCTCTTGGTTGGAAGTGGAGGTCGCCTACCATCATAGCAACCTCTCTTGTCAATGGAAAACAAAATGCAGCAAGCATAAATGAGACTGCAATATATTTATATATCTAGCAATAAAGGATTCAATACATTTGATGCCTCTGTCCAACCAATGAAGTGACAGAGGATATTTACATTAATTTGATATAATATCATCTTGTTCAATGTCAATAATTTTAATTAATCAAACTGTTGAAACACATATCGATTGATCAAAGCCCAAGTCAGTTAGGTACTATTACTACTACTACTATTATAGTTACTATTTCTATTACACATTGCTACCACTATTGCATAAAGGGTTTAAGAGGAGAAGCAGATGTAAATCTGAAATATTTGGAGAAGCAGATGTTGAGCATATGTAAATGACTTATAGCCTGTTTGGCCAAACTTCTAGAAGGAAAAAAAGTGCTTTTGAGGAGAAGCAGAAGCAGTTTTGGAGAAGCAGAAAAAAGTAGCTTCCCTCCAAAAACACTTTTTTGAGAAACACTTTTGAGAAAAATACACTTAGAAGTAGTTTTTTAAAGCTTGGCCAAACACTAATTGCTGCTCAGAAGTGCTTTTCAAACTAATTAGCCAAACACAAACTGCTTCTCACCAAAAGTACTTTTGAGAAAAGCACTTTTGAAAAAAAGCATTTCTCAAAATAAGCTGATTTTTGCAGCTTGGCCAAACGGGCTATTAAGCTGTTATCTACTACACGGAGGTAATGAAGAATCCTTACGCCACCATCCACTCTATGCCTTCCTTCACAGTTTGACTTGCTAGGGATGAAGATAAAATAACTAGTATAATTTGTAAATAATATTGGTAATAGAAAGAAAACAGTATTGTAGAAGTGGTTCTGCTCCTCGATCACGGTGCACCAGCTGATAGCAGAAAACTGCAGCTGCAACATGGTTCCAAAATGTGACGAGACCCATCCTAGCCCCTCGGGTCCCAGCCCAAACCATCCCAACAAGTTCCAAATAGTAATATTGACTTGCACAAAGGCTCAAAACGAGAGATTGTGTTGTTACAGGTTTTTGAGTAACATGATTCGTAAGTCAAACATCACATTATGCTTGGAATGTTCACTTTTAATTAATTTTGGGACTACCACTATTTTTAGTCATTGGTGCCAGGAAACTTCAGCATACCTTTGAGATACAAAGACATAGCATAGAAGTAAATAGTGCAGGAACTTCTGCCAGAATAGTACAGGACACTTCGGATCAAGTACTAGTATTTTGAGGAATAACTATACAAAAACACCTCCGCAACACAACACTGGTTGATTCTTTGACAGAACTACATTTGATTTTATGTAAGAAGATTCCATTGCTTAAGTGGAAGGCCAAAAGTAGCAGACAGAAATAAGAAAATTGATAAATCTTGTCCTAAACTACAAAATCATAGGGAAATTATAGCTAGTTAAACCGCTGCCTTAGTCAGAGTTAAGTTTAGCGAGTTAAAATTTTGTTCTATCATTTGAAGGCATTAATAAAGCTAATTGAGAAAGAAAAAGATAATTCACATGATGTGAATCACATCTGTTGGTCATGTGCAAGCAAGAGGGAGAGGATGTCAAGTATTTATCGTGTCACTGTCCATTCTGATATAAATTTTTGGTGTATGATTGGACGCTCTTTGTAGAAAATCACGTCTTTTTGTTAGATCCTCTACTTTAGTATACACCTTTTATGCAAAGTTTCCTGCTCATATAAAAAAACTGTATCTTCATAAAACAAGAAGTCCACTCTGGATAAAGCCCAACGAACATGGAAGAATATTTCATGAAACTTTGCTTCTGCCTAGCATTAGCTAGCTGGTGGGGTGAGTGATCAATGATGGGTTACATGTCATAGTTATAAGCAAAATAAGTACAGAGACGCTCGCTGCAATAATGCAATAGCATTTGTATATCGTTGATGCAAATCACTAGGCCCTCCTATAAAAGAACTTGTCTTTGCCTCTACTGGAAGATTCACCTGTCTAAAACTATTAATATCTCAGCCTCTGCATGATCAAGTTTAATATATTTGTCGACTGAATACCGCTGAAATATTCTTCTAGTATGTAATAATACTAGATTAGCTGTCTCTCTGTTTTAATAATAGTATGCTAAGCCATGTTGCTCAAAAACTAATGCAACCACTGACTTTGAAGGCCAATGAGAAGGCCAATTAGCTGTCTACCTGTACTAATAATATGATAAATAATTCCTCCATTGACTTTTGGTAGCATTTAGATCCAATCCAATAATTATTCATTCACTACTGTGAGAAGGCCCTATAGACCGAAACCTTTCTTCCTTCCAACCTTTATGCTGATATTAATCTTCACTTGTCATTAATTACAAGTTTTCTCCTACTGCAAACTTTGGTCTTTATCAGGTATATATTTCAATAATTTTTTTCTAATCTCCCTCGACACATTATATCCGTAAATAATTATTTGCCTCTTCAGCTATCATTGAAGTGAATTAGTTGAACCATGATTTATTGTTATCGAAGGTTAAATTTGGAAACAAAACTTTATTCACCGTATTATCCCATTTTCAATTCAATGAACCAAACAAAGAACTGGTACTAAATAATCCAGGAATTACTAATCGCAGCATTATAACCCCAGCACTATATTAGACACTGATACTTTAGCTTTCTTCAAAAAAATTATATCTTAAAAACGGAGAAGTGAAATGAAGCAACATTTACGATAGGAGGTTTGTGAAATTTTCCATAACCATAATGGCAAGGAAGGTGTATAATCTTTCACATTAATTGTAGCAATTGAAAGAGAAATGTTATTCTTAATGAAACTAATATTTCAAGAGTTTGGTGAACTTTCAGGAATTATCTAAGGAAGATGGCTCATAATGAAATTGAGGATATGTTAGATCACCTAAGAAGGATCAAGATTGGAGGTGATCTGAATAGCGTCAAGATTGATGAAATTGAGACACTTGAATTGGAGCTACGATTTTTGAGAACCTTTATAAAGTACTATCCTTTTCTTTTGCCTGATTCCTTAGCCAAAATCATAAAGAAGGCCCAATTGATTGTGGAAATGCTTAACTCAGTTTTTGGTGGAATTCCAGATGAATGCAAAACTAACCTTAATGTGGAAAGGCTAGTATCACATTTGTTGGAATTCATTGGAGGTAATGCCAGTTCAAGATACAATAATGAATTGAATGATTCCTATCTGTCGGAATATATGGATTGCCTCGTAAAGAATCTAAATGATGTACTGGTGTCGCTGGAATTGGATGAGTCTGAAACTTTTTTGACGGATGGACTACTCCTTCAGACAAATCGATGTTTAAAGCAAGTGAAAATAATTCAAAAGAAGATGAGATTTTTAAGATACTTATATGCCACGGAGATGAATGGTTACATCGACCATGAGAAGCTGGAAGGTCTGGAGACACGAATTCGGTTCATGGCTGACAATGTGGGACAATTTTGTTTTTCTTTGTGGATCTTGGGTGAGGATGAAGATAATCTAAATAATATCTTAAGTAAACCTCCTTATCTACTATGCCTGATTATGCTTGTGGAACTGGAAATGAAGAAGATTTTTCGTGGTGAAGTAAAAGGTTCGAAGTTTACCCAATCAAGAACTTTTAAGGACAAAAAATTGCCAAAAGGATTTTTGCGTCATCTCCGTGCTCTACTGGTGTATCTCAGTAACAAAATTCTTGAGAACTTTCCAATTAATGTTTCTGCTCGAAATTTTGATGTGGCAATAGAGTTCTTGTTGGTTTTTCTTGCTGGTGTGCCAAATCGATTTATTAATGGGAAGAGATTGAATGGGGTCTTGGAAAAGGTTGTTGCTCTTGTGGGTGAAACATTGTTTTTAAGTCAAAAGCTTCGTGCGAGCTCTACAATCAAAGATCACACCAGCAAGACTAATCTTACCCTGACAGAGATAATTGAGAGAAGTGAAAATTTAAAGGCACAAGTAGAAGAGAGGTACTACAAATCCTTAAAATTCATTCCCTATGGTCAGTTTCCCACAGTTGGTGGAGTCATCCTTTTGGGTTCTTTTTTAAGGAAGTTGGATGAAATGTTGAAATCTGAATCAGGTTTAGTCATGTTGAAGCCTCATATTGGTATTTTACAAAAAGAGCTCTCATCGCTAACATCCATTATAAGAGATGTCGCAAAGGTGCAACATGAACATGAAATTCTTAAAGATCTTCAGGGGAGTATTATCAATTTGGCATATGAAGCTGAAGTTGTCATTGACTCTATACTTGCTCAATATAATTCACTTTGGCATCTCTTTTGCTCACTTCCTACAATCATAGAAGAGATCAAGCATATTAGTGTGGAGGTGACAGAGATGTGGTCGGAAAACCTTGATCTTAAGCCTTGCTATGTGGTAGAGCCATCTAAACATTTGCCAACCCAACATAGCAATACTGTGAATGATGAGGAGATAGTTGGGTTTGAGAATGAAGCAGAACAAATAATTCGATATCTGATTCAAGGTACAAATGAGCTAGATATCATCCCAATTGTAGGCATGGGGGGACAAGGGAAAACGACTATTGCTAGAAAGGTGTACGACAATAAAGTGATTGTTTCTCACTTTGATGGTCTAGCATGGTGTTGCATTTCCCAAACATATAGCTGGATAGAGTTACTACGAGAGATCCACAGTCAAGTTTCCAAGAACAAGGTAGATAAGGATGATGAACTCGCTCACATGTTGAAGAAAAGCTTAATGAGCAGGAGATATCTGATTGTCTTGGATGATATGTGGGATGTTAAGGCATGGGATGACTTAAGATTATCTTTCCCAAATGATGAAAATGGAAGTAGAATAATAGTAACAACTCGACTCGAGGAAGTGGGTAAGCAAGTGAAGCAACATACCGATCCTTATTCTCTTCCATTCCTCACACAAGAAGAGAGTTGCCAACTGCTGCAGAAAAAAGTGTTCCAACAGGAAGATTGCCCACCTGAACTACAAGATGTCAGTCTAGAAGTTGCAAAAACATGCAAAGGACTGCCTCTTGTTGTTGTCTTGGCAGCTGGAATTATTAAAAAGAAGAAAATGGAAGAATCTTGGTGGCGTGAGGTTAAAGATGCTCTATTTTCCTACGTTGGCAAGTCCGAAGGATATAGTCTTTCCACTATGCAGTTAAGTTATGATAACTTGCCTGATTACTTAAGACCTTGCCTTCTTTATATGGGGGTGTTTCCGGAGGATGCAAGAATTCCAGTGTCTAAGTTGATTAGCTTATGGATCGCGGAAGGCTTTGTGAAGAACATTGAATCTGGGAGGTTGGAAGAGGTAGCTGAAGGTTACTTGTTGGATCTCATTAGCAGTAACGTTGTAATGGTTTCAAGGAGAAGGTATAACGGTAAAGTCAAATACTGCAAGGTTCATGATGTAGTGCTTCACTTTTGTTTTCGGAAGAGTAGAGAAGAAAAGTTTATGTTGGCAGTGAAGGGGCATCATACCTACTTTGAACCTTTAGTTTGGACGATAAACGGCCCCATTGTAACTAAGCTTTCAGAGTTTGCAGTGAAGGGCCAATTTCAACCTTCCAATTGGAAGGAAAGTCGACTGATCTTCAATTTCACTGATGAGCCTTTCAAAACACGGAAGCCTTTCCACCAACACTTGAGGTCACTGATAACGACCACTGAAAGAGTAATTCGTTCTTGGGATCCCTATCTTCTGGTTAGTAAATTGAGACTTCTTAAGGTCTTGGATTTGAGTTCCTATGAAGTAAATATTTTGTTGTCATCTACATTGCTACCACTAATCTACCTGAAGTTCCTTGCAGTTTACACACATAAGTTCGTTTTCCATCCAAAACCACATCTGCCCCATCTAGAAACTTTAATTGTGAAGTGTGCTGGTAATTGTACAGGGTTACCAGCGGTGTTTTGGAAAATGAAAAAACTAAGGCATGTTGAGATTAGTTGGACTGATTTTGATTTGGAAAACAATAAGCAGCAGATCTTCAAAGAATCCTCTAAATTGGAAAGTTTGAGGATATTAAAGAATGTTCTACATCAAATTCGCGATGCCAATGGATTACTGGATGTCTTATCGGGGAGCTGTCCTAATCTTCAAGAACTTGCCATCAAGTTCATTGACTATATAGATTCTGATAGCGAGGATGATGCTGATAATGTGAATGATTGTACAGAGATTTGTCTCAATTTGGAGAGTCTTACCCAGCTTCAAATACTTCGCCTTTTCATTCCCTCGTCCCAAGTTGTATCCAAGTTACACTTGCCTTCATGTTTAAAGAAGTTGGTACTACACACGGCTCGTATAGAAAGCATGATTTCCTTTATTGCGGGACTATCAAGTCTGGAGTATCTCAAATTAAGGGATCCAAGGTGGGACGAGTCAGAGGAACTTCAATCAGAAGAGTGGTGCCTCGGAGATATCACATTCCATAAACTTAAATTCTTAAAACTGGATCGCTTAGTTATCTCAAGGTGGGAAGCCTCAGATGAATCTTTTCCCCTTCTCGAAACACTTGTTATAAGATGGTGTAACGAGCTTGAGGAGATCCCCAATAGCTTTACAGATATTCAAACACTGAAACAGATTAAGGTGCTTTCATGCAGCAAAGACTCTCTCAAGGCTTCAGCTGTGAGAATTAAGGAAGAAGTTGAAGATATTGAAGGATGCAACCGGGTAGACATCATTATCAAAGTAAGTAGAAACAAACTCCTATGTGATGTTTTCGAGTATCTACGTGCATCTAATGTGCAAATAATATGTTTGATACAGGATGTTTATGGAAATCTTCGAAAGCTGTGGTAACGCACATGCTTGTCACAAAAAAATGGTACTCTTTTAGATGCTCGCTTTCCCTTTGTTGCTCCATGTCGATATCAAACTAATGAGGACGTGTTTGAATTTGACAATTGCTTAGGCAACTGCAGCTTAAGCACAGACAGAGTAAGTGGAGTTCTGTCGTTGCAAATTCTTGTAGCCATGCTCATGTTGAAGTATATTATGCTGCTAGCCAAAGCGCACATCCTTTAATTTTATATTGTGACACTACTACTGATTGCTAAGGTTATTTTTTTTTAAATATATTGTTAAACATAGATTCATGTGGGAAGAATTTGTTCATGTTCCTCTTTTTTCAGCTGTATGTTTAGATGATTGAAGACTATTATCAAATGGTCTTCCAATGTGATTTCTTGATGCCATCTACATACATCATGACCAGGGGCGTATCAAAATTATTAGTATCAAATCTACAGGTAATAGATAGCCTTGACCCATTGGTCAGATAGTGTTTTAAGAGACAAGTCGTGGGTTTGATGCGCCCAACAACGCTCCGGCAACTCTTGACGTTAAGAGGTGTCATTTTTTTTTTGTACATATAATTATATTCACAGTCTTAATATATATGTCTAATAAAATTTTCTGATGTGTCGCGTGACACCCCTTGGTTCAGGAAGCATTGTTTCTTTTTTGTTTTTGTAGGTTGGTGGTTGTTTTCCCCTTTAATTTCTACAATCCCTTCATCTTACATCTTCTATGCAGCACGGTGCTGCAAAATTCAATTAAGGACACAAGTACAAAAGTTATTTTCTAGTTAAATATAAGTACACCTACCAATCATAAGCTGTGAAAAAGGGTAGAAAAGTGATACAACATCAGTTTTTTGACTTGAGATGTGTAAGTCTTGAACTTCCTATATGTTAAAATTGCAAACAAACAACCCATATTAACAAAGATGTTCAAGCACAAAACTGGTCACAAGCTCAACAAGTATCAGAGGCGGAGCTAAGATTTCAATTTTATGGTTCTGGATTTTAGAACGACGATTTCAAATTGTAATAACTGAGTTTTAAATTTAATATTTGTATATATTTAATAAATTTATTAACGAAAATACACTATTTAAGCAAAAGTCATTTAGTTCGACCGAACCCGTTATGGAACGTGTAGCTCCGCCCCTGACAAGTATAGCCAGTTAAGCGTGAGGCTCCGGAGGAGCAACTCTTTATTGCCTGATGTTACCACAGCCTGAGAACCAACAATGTAATCTCATTGACAATAGATGCACGAACCATATGTCATGTGTAGCATCGGATATATATTAATTTTGACTTCATTACATCTGAAACTTACTATAGGCGTAGATGTCGTGCGTAGCATTGCACATATATTTATCAAAGCCAATATGGTAGCGGAAGATCGTTAGGTTAATTAGCACACAATACACACAAAGTAAATAGAGAAGAAAAAATAATACATGGATTAATCGAAGTTCTACTAAGCTTAGTCCACGAGCAGAAGCAAAGAGAAGAAGTGTACAATATATAAAAAATCTCTACCTATAACCCTTATATATAGATTACAAGTAGTCTTAAAACTATAATAGGTCGTTTGGTAGGATGCATAAGAATAGTGATTAATAAGGTGTATTAGTAACGTAACGTAGGGATTTATAATGCATGGGTTAGTAATGCAAGTATCAGTTATGCAGAGATTATTTCCTATCCACTGTTTGGTGTGGTGTTTTAAAAATTAAAATGCATTGCATTATTTTTAAGAAAATTAGTTGTTTATAAAATATCTTCCATATTCTTTAATTTTAAGGGACTTTAAGTATAGCTTTATCTTTAACCATGCTAATGCATGCATTAATAGCCTTGGTATTGCTAATACGATAGTTTGCTATGTATTAGTTATACATATGTTGAAAATATGTACTAAATCCAAAAGCTAATACATGCATTATTTTCTCTAATGCAACCTACCAAACGACCCCTAAGAGAATGATTTTTCCTATCCTACAAGGACAACAAATTTTTCTTTCTCAAATCTATTAGAATATTAGTGTCCTAAATAATAATACTATAAAATTTCCAAAAAATACAAAAAAATAGTTCAAAGTCATAACAGTATGACTATATTTTCTCTCCGTGGAAATTCACTAGGTTATTAGATAAGATGTGTTTGTCTCAATATATGCATCTGTTGTGCTCTCCAGCTGTACTTTTTATCCTTTTCTTAACTTTCCAACCTCTTTGCTTTTACCACTATTCTTGATGCTTTCATGTAAAAAGTAAAAAAAGAAAAGTGTTATATTTATAAGGTGATAGTTACCTTTAATAGCGTGAAGCCTTTTAGGGAATAAGGTGCGGACCCGACCCAAAGCAGATAATATCATATTATATTAAGAGTATTTTGAGACTATTTTAACCCAATAACTATCATAGCCAATGATTTGACATGACGAATATGGAAATTGCAGAGTGATGCCTTGGGGCGTGACTTAGTGCATTTGCCCGTCTAAACTAGAAGAAGCTACCATCTGGGCTTTGATGGCCATAGATAGAGGTTGACGTGGGTGTCACATAGTTAACTTTCAAAATATTTTACTTAGAAGTTCTAAAGGTTTGAGACTTTTTTGGAAAATGTACAAGCTTGATCCAAAATAATTAATATCCATCTGTTTCAGTTTATGTGAACCTATTTCCTTTTTGGTTCGTTCCAAAAAAAAATGACCCCTTTCTAAATTTGGACATAATTTAGCTTAAACTTCCAATTTTACCCTTAATTAGAAGCTTTTATAACCATACAAGGGGCGATGTGCACAAATAGCCATTAAGAGCACATGTCTTTGCTTTAAAGCCAATGTTTTAAATATCTTTAGTCTTTAGCCACTGGTTTAGTAAACTTTTACCTGACTGGACGAAAATACCCTTCTGCTATAACTTATATCTACGCTTTTATTAACGATCAGCAGCAGCAGCATCAGATTGTGATCGTCGAATTTCAAACTATAGAATTGCAGAAGCTTCTCTTTCAATTCAAATTTCTGACTGTGATCGTCGATTCAACTTTCTCGTCCAAAATCGACATAAATTTACAGTAAGTTATGCTTTTGTGTGTTTCTATTGATTTTTATTTCGTTACTAGGAATTTGATTTTCTTTTTGAATTTCTGGATTGATAAGGTTAAGGACATCGCTTCCTGTGATAATTCTATAAAAATTGAGCACATAATGTTAAGGATTTGGTGTCTTTAACATGACCGTTGTTACTAATATTAAGGACATAGTGTCATGATTATGTAAATTGAATTGAAAAAGTTAAGGACACAATGTCCTTAACTTTTTTGCTGTTCTTCTGAATATTAAGGACATACTGCCATGGTTTTGCAAATTGTTTTGAAAAAGTTAAGGACACAATGTCCTTAACTTTTTTGCTGTTCTTCTGAATATTAAGGACATACTGCCATGGTTTTGCAAATTGTTTTGAAAAAGTTAAGGACACTTGGTCCTGAAGTTTGAGTTTCAAGTTGAAAAGTTAAGGACACTTGGACCTGAACTTTGACTTGCATGCTTAAAAGTTAAGGACACTTGGTCCTTAACTTAGAGTTACAAGTTCAAAAGTTAAGGACACTTGGTCCTTAACTTAGAGTTACAAGTTCAAAAGTTAAGGACAGACAATCCTTAACTTCAAGTTTCAAGTTCAAAAGTTAAGGACACTTGGTCCTTAACTTTGAATTCCAAGTTCAAAAGTTAAAGACACTTGGTCCTGAACTTTGACTTACATGATCAAAAGTTAAGGACACTTGGTCCTTAACTTAGAGTTACAAGTTCAAAAGTTAAGGACAGGCAGTCCTTAACTTCAAGTTTCATGTTCAAAAGTTCAGGACACTTGGTCCGTAACTTTGAATTCCAAATTCAAAAGTTAATGACACTTGGTCCTGAACTTTTATTTCCAAGTTAAAAAGTTAAGGACACTTGGTCCTGAAGTTAAGGAAACTTGGTCCTTAACTTTGAATTCCATGTTCAAAAGTTAAGGACACTTGGTCCTGAAGTTAAGGAAACTTGGTCCTTAACTTTGAATTCCATGTTCAAAAGTTAAGGACACTTGGTCCTTAATTTAGAGTTACAAGTTCAAAAGTTAAGGACATTTGGTCCTTAACTTACAATTCCAAGTTAAAATATGTTTTGAGTTTCCCATTCTCTTGACTTGCAGGATGGAAACAATATACATTCTAGTTGATTTTAATGGTAGATGGACTGAAGACTACAAGTATCTCGATCATCAAACAAAGCTTGTTCTACTACCTGAGGCAATTAAGTTTGAAGATTTCATTAAACAGATCTTTGAAGTTATTGAATTGGATAGAGACAAGTTTGAAGCAGTGATATGGTTTGATATCAACCTTGGAATAAGCAAGGGAAAGATTTAGATCTTCACACATGTATAGATTTTCTAAAAAGTCATTCACTCTTCAAGGGCCGTCGTTTCATTGTTGATATTTCGGAAAGAGTTTTTGGATCAACAAGCACCTTTGAACATGTCAACAGAGAAACTCAAATGACAATCAAAACAAATGCCAATAGATAATGGAAATAGATATGGTTGAAGCTCAACCAATAGCTGAAGAGGTGTTTCAAACATTTGATTCTATTCAAGTAGAAGGACAAAGCATTATAGAGATTGACAACGAACAAGCTTTGGGTATTCAAGTCTTAGAGAGTGCACTGGTAATCGAAGAAGTTGCTGAAAAAACCTCTACTCAACTAACTAGACGAAGGTCAAATTTGAAAAAAAAAGAATCCCCAACTACGATATTAAGAGAAAATGCTTCGTTGGATGAAATAAAAGTGGGATTAATATTTGACAAAAAGAAGAGTATAATTAACTGATTTTCGAATATAGCAATTAAAGGATATTTTGAATTCAAGGTTGTTAGATCAAGCTCAACAAGATATTCATTGAAATGCAATGATAATAGGTGTGGGTGGTGTGTGCGTGCTTTCAGAATTAAAGATTCAACACTGTTTAAGATAGTAAAGATTGAGAAAAATCATGACTGCTCTGTTAATACTATGAAAGCTGATCAAAGGCATGCAACTTTAAAGTTGATTAGTGGTTACATTATCGACAATCTTTGAGACCCAAGGTTTGAAGTTACACCAGCTTTTGTCATGGCAGAAATGCAAAAATTGCATGGACTAAACATTAGGTATCACAAGGTGTGGCGTGCTATTCAATGTGCTTACACTTTAATAAGAGGAACTCCTGAAGAGAATTATGAATTATTGTCTTCATACTTGTATATGATGAGAAGTAAAAACCCGGGAACATATACTAACATAAAGATATATGACAACAACAGGTAAAAAATCAAAAAAGAATTTATTAGTCTATTTTATAAACTTTAGGACATACTGTCTTTAACCAGTTAAAAAGTTAAGGACTGCATGTCCTTAACTTTTATGTGTGCAGTCAAAAAGTTAAGGACACTTGGTCCTTAACTTAGAGTTGCAAGTGATAAAATTAAGGACATGGTGACCTTAACTTTTGACCTTGTTAGTCTAAGTTAAGGACTTCATGTACTTAACTTTTAAACTTTGAACTCAAAGTTAAGGACTACATGTCCTTAACTTTATAACTTGTAACTCTAAGTTAAGGACTGCATGTCCTTAACTTTATAACTTGTAACTCTAAGTTAAGGACTGCGTGTCCTTAACTTTTGACCTTGTTAATCTAACTTCAGGACTACTTGTCCTTAACTTTTGGCCTTGTAACCTAAGGTTCAGGACTACCTATCCTTAACTTTTGACCTTGTTAGTCTAAGTCAAGGATTGCCTGTCCTTAACTTCTGTTAACCTTATTTTATACTGTATTTTCAGGTTTTTTTATATGTTTATGCATATGGATCATCAATATCTGGTTGGAATCATTGTAGACTAGTGATTTCTATTGATGCAACTTTTTTGAAGTCAAAATTTCGTGGTGTTTTAATGATTTCAGTTTCAAAGGATGTAAATAACCAAATTTTCCCACTAGCCTTTGGAATAGCAGAATCTGAAAATAACAATTCCTATGAGTGGTACTTTAGTGAGCTTCGCAATGCAATTTGGAGCCGTGAGAATTTAATTTTTTTATCAGATAGGCATCAAGCTATTGCATATGCCATCGCAAAAGTATATCCTGAAAGCCACCATGGGATTTGTATCTATCATTTGGAGCACAACCTAAAGCGAAGGAAAGTGAAAAGTAAGGTCATAAAACTTTTTCAAAGTGCTGCAAGAGTATACAGGCGCAAAGAATTTGATCTTTACATGTCAGATATAGCAAAAGTAGATAAGAAGACTTATGACTACTTGATGGAAGAACCACCAGAAAGGTGGGCACGTTCTTGTAGTCCACAACGAAGATATGACATGCTCATAACAAACATAGTTGAGTCAATGAATTCTGTCCTATTAGAAGCACGGGAGCTGCCTATATTAAGAATGATGGATTTCATTCAAGTGAAGCTACAACGTTGGTTTTATGAAAGAAGAAATGAAGCATAAAGAACTTTTTATGATGTTTCTTGTTGGGTAGAGGAGGAATTGAAGAAAAAGATAGATTTAGCATTTACTTTGAATGTAAGTATTATGTACTATGTTTAGGTTATTATTTTAATATAATTTAACATAATGTGCTAACTTATAATTTTTTAACATTGAAGGTCTTCCCTGTTGATTCATGGCATTCTAGAGTTGAAGAAGAAGGAATAACATTCTTGGTGGACTTAAACAAAAGAACATGTGATTGTTTTCAGTTTCAATTTGATGAATTACCATGCATACATGCAATTGTAGTTATCGAGAAGAGAAACATCAAGAAGTCCAACTTTTGCTCGCACTGGTACTTAAAGGAATCTTGGCTGAAAATATATGAAAGGCGAATACATCTTGTAGGACATACTGATTCTTGGATTGTACCAGAGAGTGTTAAGTCACAAATTGCTAAACCTCCAGATTTCAAAGTGCCACCAGGTAGAAGGCAGAAGAAAAGGCATATTCCAGCTACCGAGTCATCAAAAATAACATTCAAATGTGGTCGTTGCAGAAGAATTGGTCATAATAGAACAACTTGTATATATTCTCCTGCAGTCCATCTATTTTCAAGAAAGCATAGAGAATAATATATATATATCCACTTATGTTTATCAACTCTTTTAAGTTTTTGCTATAAAATGGATTCATTTAGATTATTCTTATTTGAGCAGATGTCTAAATTTTCAAAATTTCTTTCTAATTACGTTCTTTTTGTTTCTTTTGAGTTCAAAATTCAAAAGTTAAGGACATACAGTCCTTAAGTTTGACTTACAGGTTCAAAAGTTAAGGACATGCAGTCCTTAAGTTTGAGTTTAAAGTTCAAAAGTGAAGGACATGCAGTCCTTAACTTTGAGTCAAAGTTCAAAAGTAAAGGACACACAATCCTTAAGTTTGAGTTCAAATTTCAAAAGTTAAGGACAAACATTCCTTAACTTTGACTTACAAATTCAAAAGACAAGGACATACAGTCCTTAACTTTGAGTACAAATTTCAAAAGTTAAGGACATGCAGTACTTAACTTTGACTTACAAGTTGAAAAGTTAAGGACACTGGTCCTTAACTTACAGTTCCAAGTACAAAAAATAAGGACACTTGGTCCTGAAGTTTGAGTTCCAAGTTCAAAAGTTAAGGATTCAATTTCAAAAGTTGAGGACACATGGTCCTGAACTTAGAATTTCAAGTTCAAAAGTTAAGGACACTTGGCCCTGAAGTTTGAGTTTCAAGTTCAAAAGTTAAGGATACTTGGTCCTGAAGTTCAATTACACTTGGTCCTGAACTAATACTTACAAGCTCAATGGACAAATCAATACTTGACAGAAACAAAGAAATTAATAACATGGTGCCTTCACATTACTTCTGAAATTGTAATTTTGCATAGTTGTGACAAACAATTATGCTATGCAAACAAAATAAAAGTTCCTTTTGAGGAATTTACAAGATATTTCAGAATTCATATGGATTCTTTACAGCAATTTTATACAAAAAATCAACCACAACTAACTTTCTTTACAACTAAACTACAGCTCTTTCGGACATCAAGTTTTATTTTCACTATCATAGTCGTCGCCAACATTTCCTGGTGGTGTATCATAACCAGAATTTCTTTTCCACTCTCTATGTGCCCAAAGATTTGTTGCAAGTTCTTTTCTAAAGTCTTTTATGTCTTCAGGTTGGAATTTCTTCACATCCTTTCCCATCATCAACAACTCCACATACTTGATTAGGAATGCACCACAATCAGTCCTAAGAAAAATGTAAGATATGGAGTCAATTAAACAATAAATCTAAAGTATATATGAATTATATAACAAATAACAACACGTACGATCCAGTTTGGTGTGGTGATCTTTGCCACTGTGTGATGACCCGGCCAGTTGTCTCATGAGTTACCGCTCCGTTTTCCCCATTTCTACTTCTTTATGCTTCATTATCCGTGTTTTATGTGGTTGAGTTGATTGGTTTGCGTTTGGTGTGATTTTGGTAAGAAATGAGACACTTAGTCTCTTTTAAGAAGGCTTAAGTTGGAAAAGTCAATCGGATATTGACTTATGAGTTAGAGGGCTCGGATATGAGTTTCGATGGTTTGGTTTGCTTTGGGATGTGATATATGACTTAGGAGTGTGATCGGAATTGATTTTGGAGGTCCGGTGTAGAATTAGGCTTGAATTGGCGAAGTTAGTATTTTGGCAATTCACGGTTGGTAGGTGAGATTTTGATCCGAGGGTCGGAATGGAATTCCGAGAGTTACAGTAGCTTCGTTATGTCATTTGGAATGTGTGTGCAAAATTTCAGGTCATTCGGACGTGTTTTGGTTGGGTTTTTGATCGAAAACGTATTTCGGAAGATTTTAGAAAATTAGATTTGAATTCGATGTGATTTAGTAGATTTGGTGTTGTTTGAGGTGTTTTGATGATTGGAACAAGTTTGAACAAGGTATTGGGTCATGTTTGTGTTTTTGGTTGAGGTCCCGGGGGACTCGGTGTGATTTTGGATGGTTAACGGGAAGATTTGAACTTGAATGATTGCAAAAAGTGTGCTGCTTCTGGTGTTTTCACACCTGTGGCTTGGGAACTTCAGGTACGGTGCTGCACGTGCGAGGGGAAAAGCCACAGATGCGAAGTTTGGGCTGGGGAGCAGTTTTCGTAGAAGCGGTCGAGGTGGCCGCATCTGCGAAGCTGTAGATGCGGAAGTCCAGTCGCAGAAGCGACTTTTGGAATTTTAATGAGAAACCGCAGAAGCAGTTGGTTGGACCACAAATACGGTACCTCAGGTGCGGTAAAGGGGTCGCATATGAGAAAACCCCTGGGCAGAATGTATATATGTCTCTTCTTCATGATTTTTAAAGGGTTTAACCATTTTTAACTTCAGACTTAGAGTTTTTGGGCGATTTTGAAGAGATATTTCAAGGGAACTTCGATAAGGTAAAGATTTTGGACTTAAAACACACTTCTTTGGTGGCATTTCATGAATTAGGATTGAAATTTAATGGACTAAAAATGGAAGTTTAGGGCTTGAGTTTAAGAGAGCTTAAATTAAAGATTTGAGGGGTCAATTGAACTCCGATTCTGGTGTTTTTGATATGTATGAACTCGTGGGGAGATAAGGAATCTAATGATGTGAAAATTTCTGAGTTTCGAGAAGTGGGCTCGGGGCTCGGGTTTTGCCAATTTCGAGATTTTTGACATTTTTCAATTGTTTTCGCTTGGGCTTTGTTCCCTTAGCATATTGTGACGTATTCGTTCTGGTTTTGCTCAGATTCGACGCGCGAGGAGGCCGATTTGAGAGGCAAGGGAATAGTGAGCTAGAGCTTTAGCCGGTTCGAGGTGAGTAATGAATATAAATGATGTCCTGAGGGTTTGAAACCGCGGATTTGCACATTGTAGTGCTATATTGAGGTGAGACACGCGCTTGATAATGAGTGTGGGGTCGTTTACTATTTGGGATTGTGACTTGGTCCGTCCTGAGTGACGCTTTTACCACGTATTTAATTAAAGCTTATTTGTTATCCTCATTATTTGGATTGATTGCTATATTTGGGCTTCGTGCCAACTATTTGAACCCTCCGGGGAGTTTTAACACTATTTCCTCACTGTTTAGACTTACTACTTGAACTCAGTCGTACCGTTTTCCACTGTTTTACAACTCAGCCACTTTTACTCGATTTTTGAAACTAAGAAGATATATTAAATAATATTTTTGGGCTGAGAACTACTGTTTTACTAAATGCTCGAGAGGCTTATATGATTTTTGGACTGAGTATGGCCAAGGGCCAGATGTGAGGATACTATGGGATCAGGCTGCGCGCCGCAACAGTATTATATTGATATTGATATGAGGCCGAGGGCCTAGTTGATTCCACGAGATGGCTTGATATTGTGCTTGGGCTGTATGGGGACCCTTCCGGAGTCTGCATATCCCAGTGAGCGCCGTCGACGATAAATATACGGATCAGGCTGCACGCCGAATCGAGTACTATAGGGTACCGTTCTATGTGTTGATTTTCGTTATATGTCTGTCACTTAACTGGTTATTTATTGTAGCATCTCCATATTTCATTTCCATTGGTTTATTGCTTTTATATTACTTGTTTAAACTGCCGCATTATAGATTACTCTGTGATTCCGTGATTTCTTACTCTCAGTCATTATTTATGTTTCTTACTCACTGGGTCGGAGTACTCACATTACTCCCTGCACCTTGCGTGCAGATCCAGGTGTTCC